CATCAAACTACGCCTTTGTCTATTTGTTTATTTTGAATACACGCCCTCTAGCTGCGAAAATTACATATTGTGCCTTTAAGGACTTTTATGCACTTTTTTCAGCACCTATTATTTTTATTTTCAAGACCAACAGGCAACATATTAAACACCTGAAATGTATTCTCGACAATCCATGAAAAAATTCCATAGGAACTATCAATTTATACAAATAAAAAACATTTTAATATAATAAACCAAACTGCACAAATGTGCTTTTTGAATAACATATTAATGAAATTAAATGCAAATTTGTAAGAGACTTCATTTGTTGCCACAAAATCAATATAAACATATTAGGTAATAAAAATAGCATCCTTACAGCCCTGAGCTTGTTGACAATACAGCTTTTTTTTCTTTTAAAGCTTTCCTAAAGTAGTTGAATTTTAGTATGGCATCTCTTACCTTGGATGAGGTTTCTGCGTCTGTTGTTGCTTTATCAAAAAAAATTTTTTCAAGGCTTTTAAGATGATCCTTGTGCTCTCTCATGGACAATCGACTGTTAAGAGAGGCTTCTCTGTGAATTCTGCCATTCTTTTGAGAACAAAAAGGAAATTACATACACATTGCAGAGACTAGTATGTGACTATGTGGCAAAAATGGGGGCAGATTATAGTGTATATTATAATATATAATACCGATTTAATCTATACTATTACTACTATAAAATAGTATATATTATAGTAATCAAATTGACCCCTGTGCGCTGTTGACCCCTTTACCAACCTGTAAACCGACACATACCACCAAACCTGCCCCTAACCCTACCCATATCCCACCTCAATAACAGCAATAAGTGTTGTACATTAACAAAAGCTTTTAATCATTGTATAACACCTGTTCAAATCATTTGTAGATTTTCAAGATGTGCACAATCATATGAATTAAAAGTTTACTGACATTATCTGTTCACTCACAACCAGACTGAACAGTCGTGGGGCAAAGTGGGGTGCTATGCCACCATGGATCAGGCAGATACTGATCATTTTCCCAAGCAATTTGCAATCCCGGTTTGAGATGGCTGAAAAGTAAGTTTCAAATTCACATGTTTATATTTCATTGTTAACATATTTTCAACATGGGTTGGACCCTTGAATAAATGTGAACATAACTAAATGCTTACCATGGCTATCCAGGGCCAGTAACTTTGAATTATCTGGCCCTTCAAACAGGCTCCTGCTGCTCTGTATATCCTTCTTAAGGAGATGAAAAACTTCCCTTGTTGGCCCACCATCATCCAGTGCCCCTTCTGGGATATTGGCAAGATCCATAAACACGACCGACCCCCGATGGCTTATATGGGTCGAACAGGCGTCTAGTGAATGCATGTCGTGCAGAGCCATAAATGTAATCTCTGCATGTATTAATCATATTTGACGAGTGTTGATCCTCCGTTCATCTTTGTTGAAATAGATACGTTCAAGGTGGTAATCATTTTTACATTTTACAAAAAAATCACACCAGGTAAACCCACTAATCCCCATTTGTCCAACAATTTGATAGTAGTACTCGTGGATCTTTTTTAGAGTGTAGTTCCCGGCTGCATTTGTCAAATATGAGCAGTTTTTGAAGCTGTCTTTGTTTGGGCATTTGATCTCAAGAAGACCATGGACAGTATCTGCTGTAAGGTCAACTACTTTCCTGTCAGGTGAGGCTCCTAGGTGAGGGGCATGATGATTAATTATTAAGCCACAGGGAAACAATTTGTTTCCAGTGAGTTTTTCATATTCTGCAGCAGCAACAGGCTCAAGTTGTATGCCTCTTTTCATAGCTTTGGTCTGAATGGTTTGTTTTGCAGTCATGTCAGCAGCTAACTTTTCAAAGTCTTTAACCCTAGAACAGACTTGCTTAAAAGGTGTTGATGTGCTGCGCGTAGCCGATGCCAAGTGATGCTGCTTTGGTCCCTGGTTCCACTTTCCAGGTGTAGTGAATCTTCTGGTGTAATTATCAGAGCTCCACAGAAATCATGTTATTTTTGGTTTAACACAGTTGCGTAGGAGCATGATTGTGGAGGAAGAGGCAGTGTAGGGTGCTCGTCAGAGGACACAGTCTGCTGGGGTAACTGGTTGGATAAAACAGACCCTAAAGGTAAGTCGCCGAACTCTGTGACGACAAGTTTTTTTTGTTGGTTACTGGCGGTTAATAATTTAAACGTGGCTTCTGCTGCCTGAGGTTTTTAGGTTTTCCCTCAGATTGTCTTCAAATTCACCACAGGGCAATGGGACAGGGACTGGGTAGTAAACATTTGGGAGAATTCCCTCACTTCTGCGGTTTACTCTATGGGTACTACTATTTGGTGGTTGTAAACCTTTAGGTTACTTTTAGGTAGTGTTTTAGGTTACTTTTAGGTAGTGAGCCAGTGTGTAAAGTAGTCCCAGTAAATGGTTACAGTGCCCCAATCCTGCTTTACAAGCGCAGTGGGTGTCTCGGATATACGGGTTTTCTGAAGACAGCTCCACCTGCAACAAAGCAACAAAACATTGTTATTAACAAAGCCATTATTAACTAACCCTAACCCACATTTCAAGACAAGATGTACAAAATATCAGGTGTTTTTAAAATGAAAATCCACTTAAAGACCTTTTTTCTTTTAAAATCACTAACCCCAAAAATTTCCTTTTGTCTTAAATTATTTCCAAACCATAGTGGATAACTAAGCTACACACTTACGTTATAACAAGTGTTGGGTAAATTATAATCTTAAAAATAAGATTATTGTACTCTGGGAAATGGTTAAGCTGTTTTGGAAAAGTCGTTTTTTAAAATCCCAAACAGCTATCAGCCTAACCAGTTTTATTCCCCGGTACTTATATAAATAAATATACAACATTATACATCAGAAAAACTACTTGAGACCATATTCATGTCACCCGTAACAAGTTACATTGTATTTTGACGCGGCTTACTAGAAACACCTGGTATTTAGTATGAATGAACGACCGAACAAACAAACAAACAAGGTCCAAAAACAAACTAAGGACCAAATCTTGAACCATCCTGAACATGGAGGGTGTAGAAATTTGCTTACTACAACACAAAATACCTTTATGTTGTAAGTCGAAAATGTATCTTTTTACTTTCAACATCGTGGATATAACCTTCGATCAAGTAGCTGTAACCCTTCAGGAGGATAGACCTGGGAATTTTTGATCCTTCGTCCGCCCATGCTTCCACAACATTGAGAGTAAGAGGAGAAAGGCATGACAGGTTTGTAGTCCACACAGCCATGTCCTGTTGTTGTGATTTCCTGTTTACCCTCACAGCCTCGTTTTCGAATCAAAATGGCGGCGGGCTGAATGAGGCGTATTGGCACCTCAACAAGGCTGCTGGGTCTCAGAATCCAGATCACAATCAGCCACGACACCTGACACCAACATCAAACAACCACTATTTAAGCAAGATAAGCTTTATTGACATTCGCTGTTAATATACACGAGATAAAATGAAAAAGAAGTTATTCTGAACATAGCCATCAAGTGGCACTACACTTCTGAGAATAGACAACTGAACTATAGGCCCTTTCGCACCGCTTTAGTTCCAGAACTACATGTACAGTACTAAAGTACTGGGACGATTTTGCGCAAACTATTTTCCAGTACCATTTAAAGGGTTGCATTCGCACCGAGAGTGTGTACTAAGAAGTGACGTAAGCCGGTCGACAGCGACGTCATTTGTGCGCGGCGTTCAACAACAGAAACAAAGAACAACGTTAACAACAGGAGGATGGAGGACGCTGTGATCGAAGC